ACACACACACACAAATTCTGTGTAGTAATTAGGAATCATGGTTACTAAGTTCTCTGTTTTACTTTGGTTATGGATGGAATCGTTTTCCTGACATCCCTTGACCTCATAGTTGTCATGAAGGAAGCCCATAGCCATGAGATCCTTAGTGTGTCTGTCTCTTGTACTTCTGGTGTTGATTTCCTGTCCTCAGTCTTATAGACCTTCCTTGTTTGTTCTGCAACTTGTCATGCAGCTTAAATTGCTTTTATTCTTTCTTGCCCACCTTTCTCACCTATCTTTTGGTATTGAGTTCTGTCCACTTCTCTGACCTTTCTTTTTGATCTTGTTTTTTCTTCTCCCTTCTTTTCTATTCTGTCATAGTGATGAAATCATCTAGGACAGTGGCTGCTAGATAAGGAACAATTCACAAAGGAGACTGAGAAGAAATGAGAAAAACAGTTCCATGACAATGGAATTAGCTCTTGCAAGGTCAAGTAAGATAATACTTAAAAAAAAAAAAACACACAGAATTTAAGGTTAGTAATATGGTGATCATGTAAAAGCATATTTTGGTAGAGATAAAATAGAAAGCAGATTGGGGTGGGTTTAATCCATGAATGGGAGATGGAAAAATGTAGTTGGAAAGTTCAGACAACTCTGTAGAGAAGTTTACCTCTGAAGGGGGGGGGTCACCTGAAGCAAGGAAAATAGGGAATTGAGGAGGCTTTCTTACTCATTTCCAGTTTTATAAATCACTGGCTAATCACCACTTAAGTGGAACTAGAAAGGATCCACTTAAGTGAGCTATTGAATCTACAAAAGGTGATTTGTAAGTGATACTTCTGGGAAGGCAGGAAGGGACTTGCTCAAGGCACAGGTGGAAGGATTGGTGACTTTGGATAGGAGGAATGTTTTGTCTATTGTGAATAGGAGAGAAGGCAAGAAGAGGTGTAAATTCAGCAGGTTTGTTTATATGTCTTCAACTTAAACAGTTTTTGTATTTCGAGCCCCCATCTATTTCTCAATAAGAAAGTGAGATCCTGAGGATAATGACAGGGTGAGAGGAGGGAAACAAGGTTTAAGGAGTGAAGTTTTACAGTTGACTAGTAAGATGTAATGTTATTGCATATTATGTTGAAGACCATTTGCTGCTAGAGACCATGAATTTATGGTGATACCTGTCTCCCGTCTTAGGTTGTCCAGCACCTTTCTGAAGAAGCAGGGTATTTTAAGGCAATGCTGTTCTTCAAAGTGTGTTCCATGAACTGTTAAAATGGGTCTGAAATACAGAGTTTGCTACAGAACATAAAGCCATGTCACTGAACTCAATGATATGTGTAGTGATTTGGCTGGTTTTTATTCTGACATAAACTCCTTATTTCATTAAGGACTTGGTAACAAAAATAGTAGATAGTCACTTCAGGTATTTTGCAGTATCAGGAAGTATGGCTTTTAAAAGAAATACAAGAATAAAAGAGGATGGCCAAGTTACCCATTGTGTTAAGAGACTTATAGGAATAACTGTGGAAGCAAGCCAAGGGATTCCAAAGGACTTTTTCTGTTGCCATGCTAGGGATCAAACATAGGTCCTTACACATTTTACCACTTAAACATTCTACCACTGAGCTATATCCTCAGATCTTGGTGGTTCTTTTGAGACAGGGTCTCACCAAGAAGCCCAGGCTGGCCTGGAATTTTCTATACTCCTGTTTCTATGCCCCAAGTGCTGGGATTAGGCTGTGCCACCATACCTGGTTTTAAAGGAACACCTAATAGTCCTAAGAATTGATACCACCAACCACCCAAGAAAGGTGGGGATTTACCTCATAGTGGGGATGCAGTTGACCTGTTGAGGAGCAACAGCTGAGACAAGGAAGGAGGACATCAGGTACAGGTTTCTGTGTGAGTGCTAGGAGACCATCTCAGGTACTGAGGCAGCCTTCTTTGAGGTTCTTGGAAATAACTCAGTGAAAGAACAGGGCCCCACACTAAGAACAAACTGCTATAAATGAATACAAGTTGACGGGGGTAGGGATTTGGTAATGAAGAAGTAAAACCTTCAGATACATGGGGGAGGGAGGGGACAGTGGAGGAGACAGTTGAGAAAGTAGTAGAGAAGTGCTTATACTATTGTACTTATGACAGCAATATAAAAGGGAACCCTGGAAATACATAACTAGAAAATTTATCTCAACCTATGTCTAACCCCCTCCATAAGAAACTATTATGGGTTGAGTTACTTTAATATGAATTATAGGAAGTACTGTGGTCTTAAGCACCCTTCAAAGATATGATCAGAGCTAGGAACCAGTGGCTCATGCCTGTAATCCTAGCTATGTGGGAGGCTGAGATTGGTAGGTTATTGGTTCCAGGCCAGCCTAAGCAAATAGTTTATGAGTCCTCACCTCCAAGATAATCAGAATGAAATGGACTGGAGGTGTGGCTCAAGTGGTAGAGTACCTGCTTTGCAAGCATGAAACCTTGAACCCCAGTCCTGCCTGTGTATATGTGTGTGTGTGTGTGTGTGTGTGTGTGTGTGTATACACACAACATATATATATATACATATATGTATCAGAAAAAAATAACAGACCTAAAGAAATGAAGATGTCAGTATACAGAGGTCTAATAAAATCTGTTTTTACAAGATGAACTCTGAATATAAAACAGAATGCTATGAAAAGACAGCATAGCTGGGCATGGTGGTACACATCTGTAATCTCAGTCCTCAGGAAGCACAGGCAGGAGAATCAAGACCTTGAGGTCAACCTGAGCTACATAGCAAGACACTGTCTCAAAACAAACCAAAAATCCATGAATAAGAATTAGAAAAGTTTAGAAATAAGGTGGCTATGGAGGACATAAAGAATGAATTATAAGTATCTCAGAGATGAATCAGAAGGTTCTTAAGTGAATAAACATAATAGAAATTACCATAAAAGAAATAAAGGATAGAAAAGAACTAATAAAAAAAAATCAAACAAGTAAAAAAAGTATAAAAGGGATTCGGAGAATGACAAGACATTTTTTTGTTTGTGTTTTTGTTTTGAGACAGTGTCTCAGTTTGTAACCCAGGCTGGTTTGGAACTTGCTCTGTAGCCCAGGCTTGCCTCCTGCCTCAACCTGAGTGCTGGGCTTTCAGAAGTGACAAGATCTTATATACACATGCTATATGGATATATGTAATAGTACCTGAAGAATAACTGAAACAAAGGAACAGAAAACTAAAATAAAATGAATTGTAATCCAAGCCTGTAATCCCAGCACTTGAGAGGTAGAAGAAGGATATAGAGGTCAAGGCCAGACCTGGGCTGCATTGTGAGTTCCAGGTCAGCCTGAGCTATAAAACAAAGCAAACTTTAAAAGAGGGGTTGGGTGGCCCATACCATGTGAAACATACTCTGAAACTACTGAAACATACTTTGGCTTCAGAGAAAAAGTACTTTGGGCATCCAAACAAAAAAAGTAAACCACTTGCAATGGAAAAAATGTCAGACTACCATCCAGTTCTACAACCTCAGCACTGGAGTTCCAAAGACAGGAAGGGGAAGATCTTAAGGTTTTCATCAAAAGGAAAATATGAGTTGAGATTTTTTTTTTCCAGTACTGAGGTTTGAACTCAGGACTTCACACTTGCTAGGCAGGTTCTCTACCACTTGAGCTACTCTGCCAGCCCTGAGTTGAGATTTTTATATCCAGCTAAACTAATCTTCAAGCATGAAGACCACACAATTTAAGGAGTCCTCCCTCCCTCCCTTTTCTTTCTTTTGTGGTAGCACTGGGGTTTGAGCTAAAGGCTTCATGCTTGCAAAGCAGGCACTCTACCACATGAGCCACACTTTCAGTCAATTTTGCTCTAGTTATTTTGGAGATAGAATCTTGTGAACTACTTGCCCTGCCTGGCCTCCAGCCACTATCCTCTCAATCTCAGCCTCCTAAGTAACTAGGATTACAGGAGTGAGCCACCCCTTCCCCCCCCAGTATTGTTTCTATGAGCCTTTTCTCAGGGCAGTAGATTTTGCCACGTTTCCTTTATTTTCTCAATGTATACTTGGCTTCTTGCGCGCACACCACACACACAAGATTTGAAAGTAAGTTGTAGACACTGTGACCCTTCAGCCCTAAACATGTCATTATGTCTCTGGAGAATAAAGAGATTCTTTCTTTTTTTTTTTTTTTTAAAATGAGCTTCACTGAGGTTAAGATTAACACAATAAGCTGCAAGTATTTAAAATGTACAAGTTGATAAATTTTGACATATGTAAAAAAATTCTCATCTGTAAACACAGTATAGATTTCAAATATCAGAAAATGGGACATTGATGCAACACTGCTATTTGGTGTACAATTCATAGTCATATTTTGGCAGTTGTCCCAGTAATGCCCTTGTGGGGCACTTGTGGATTCAGAAGATGGATTACCAGTAAGGTCCACAGAATGGATTTGTATAGGCAGGTTCTAGAATGGGGGCTTGGGAGATTCAAATTCCACTGTGTAATAGCACAGCAAGCCTGGCTGTGCCTTCAGCAAGGTGGGAAAAGTTCTTGGGCACTGTCTCAGCCCTAGGCATAGTGTCTGTTGTATGTGGTAGCACACCTGATCTCTACTTTATACTATCCAGTCCTTGTGATCCCACACCCTTATGTGGGATTATTCCTTATGTTAAATTTTCTGTTTTCAGATTAACTGTGGTTTCTCTCTCCCTATTGTATCCAGCTGATGCATTGTTCTTACTGAAAGACATTGGACCTTTTCTGAACTTTACATTAAGAAACACATGATGC